GTACCGAAGTAGATCATTTTATCACATGGCGTTTCGGTAATATTCAAGAAATATCATCTCCAGGAGCTCTCTTTTTGGCTTATTTCTTGTCGTAGAAGCCGCTGGTGAAGTTTGGTAGACCCAACTCGGGACACTCTGTATATACTCCAAATACAATTTCCTGATGATTATTCTTCATTTCCCCTTTTTTTAGTTAGAATTTGTGTCATTGTATTATCAGCTTTGAACACAGTTTCCACTTGAAACTGATCACAAAACTAGCTGAACATAGGCTCACTGGAAATAAACAACATATGGTAGAGTGGAATAATATTACAATCATTGGAAGAAAGATATAACAACCAAAGGAGAAAAATCAAGGAATCTGCTTGCATTCTTATGAACGGAGACAAAAATATTGCTTCCTGTTTAGTTGATTTAGCTAGAACATGGTATTCACTACTGAAATCTGAACATGGAAATGGTAAATTTGGGATCAACAAATGAAAACATCCTGTAACTAATACGATTGCCAACGTCACCAATTGTCGCTATTGAGAAGAGTCATCAACTTGTGAGAGAAATGTTTTCCATTATTCATATTGAAAACGGAAGCAAATTCTTTCCCGGAACGTCCAAAGATAAGTGTTATTTGTTCTCTATATAGCCCAGGCAACCAGATGATGAATGATCACGTCACTGTGACGTCTCTTACTGGTGATTTTTCGTCAGAGACGTCACACACCAATTTATGACGTCACTATGACATAGTTTCGCGATAATCACGTCATCGTTTCGACGTCGGGTGAAGGTAACTTAGATGGTCAGTTTCATGACGTTGCAGGGACGTCCTGTCGACTTCCATTTTTTCCAGACCTTCTCTAAACCATGAATACCTTTATATTATCATGTGAAACAGAAGTATAACTCATGAAAGCGAATCAACATACAAGTTTCTTTCTGATTATCAATATACCCGAAGAGTAGTAGAAAAACTTATTTCTAAAAACTTTGACACACTCTGTATATCTCGGAAACCAACAACCTATGTATATATAAAAATGATTGTTCAGGTATACCTATATTGAAACCGTTACTCTTATGATGTTGCAGTGACGTATCTATGACGTCTAAAAATCACGTCGGTGTGACGTACCAATTTGGTGAACTTCGTCATTTAGGAAATCTTTCAATAATTTACTATTTAGATTTTTGTCGGGTGACGAAGAATGCATCAATATATATCATTCAACAAAGTCAAGCCAAATTCGCCAACATCCTTTCCATTGCTATCAAACTATTCTTTGTTTGCTTACATCTCGCCGACACAAACTACATAATTTTTGATACAAATACGAGTAACTGATTGCATTCTGATGGAGAGGCGTACCGAAGGATGGCGCTGCTGAATAAGCGAAATAAAATAGTGTCATAGAAAACACTGAACTCGGGCAGAAGTGCCCATGTGGAATCACATGCGCACAACTGCTCGAGACAAACAAGAAGGAGGTTTTTTATTTCATTCTAATTTTATTTTTCCTCCAACGCCTTAGTAACATTTTTCACTCTGATCGTGCACGAGCAGCTTCCCCACCCTATGGGTACCACCAGCGAGATTACCTGTATAAAGGGTCTAGCCCTAGGAGATAGGTCACTGCGACGAACACCTCACATATCCTCTCATATTCCTTGGCCAACACCAGCCACCTTTGCGTCAGTGGAGGGACGTTCAGGCATACTCTCTGATATGCCAAGCCCATCATACAAAAATATGTTGTTGGAAATATTTGTTGTAATGTGCAAAACTTTGTCAATGAATAAATGAATTTAATACAATTTGAATAAGCGATTGAATGAACATGACACAGGAGGGACTCACCAAGCAGACTCAACAATGCATAATCAATATTATATAATGTCATCAGAGGCTAGTGATGTTAATCACACCATGTTAAATGAATCTTTTTTACGTATCATCGCCAAATTCAATCGTCATTTGGACGTCAGTCGGACGTCACAGTTTGGTGAGTGAATGACGTCAATACGACGTGAGTCATTGGGCTATGACTTATTCACGTTAGTATAACGTCAATGCGACGTCAACTACTGACGTTACCTTGGTCATTCAAGTGACGTAAAAAAGACGTCACTGGAACGTCATCTGGTTGCCTGGGAGGTAGGTACCCATATCTTCTCCAAGCCTTTCTCAAAACAAAGTGTCACTGACAATCGAATGAACTTTTATATCAGGCTCTCAGATAGAAGTGTTTGCAAGCAGTGACATTTCGTGGCAAATCATCTAATTTGTTCTCACTACACGTATATTGAAATAATTGGTACTCATATATTGATTTCATAGAAACGAGGAGGGAAAATCTCAAATAATCTGGAATAATGAATAGATTAATCTACAGTCAGTATCAAATTATTATTTCAATAATTCAGTTGAGCAACGCTCAATCGGGTAAACACATCGCAAATGCTGGGGATGAACGATCAATATCGTCGCATCATCAATTATTGATAAGTAGATGGCCACAAGTAACATTAGGATTTCGTCAAGGATTACATCAATATGAATAGCTTGTTAGCAACATATGCAGCTCAGCTTGCCAGTAATAATCCTAAGTAAAGTTTTTCTGAGAATCAAACATCGAAAGACGTGAAATCAAACCGAAATCATTAGGTATGCAAAAGGAAGTAACAAAACACTTCCTTCCAATTTGATAACGAAAGCAGAAACTCACAAATTCATACTGCAGTTTTGTTGAAATTCGACATTGAAATTTCATTCTAGGATGCCCTGATTCAAAAAATGAAGATATATACTCCATAACATAGTAATATCAGAGTTTCCGGAGATTGAAACTGATTGAAACTGAAAACATCGAGTGGATCAGGTCTGAACAGGAGCCACTAAAAATACGGACGGAATATTCAAGCAATAGCAGCCAAAATTGAAGTATCTTAGAAATTATCAGGTTGATCATCGAAAAATCTACATGGTAACAATTGTTAACTGTGTAGTATCCAATCATTACTAGGTAGATAGGTACCTACCTAACAACTGAAACGACTCCCTGTCTATAAAAAACTTGGTGCATATCCGTCTTGCAGGCATTTCTATTCGTCTGTCTGAAGGTAGGGGGGGGGTTGTTACTCATTCTACCACTTTTTCCTGAAACACTTTAAGACAGTTCAGATATGCACTCTACATTCAACTAATTCAGATACCTATAGGTCAATCCAGCTTATCAGGACAGCTTGCCAATTCGCATTCAATCAACAGTCAACTCATCTACGACCCAACTCATCAATAACTCAATTCATCAACTTATCCATTCCACCAACATCCAATTCATTTTATCTCATCTTAACATAATATGTCATGTCATGGTTCTTTTAAAAATTATGTTAGCGTGGAAAATATATGATAACCAATGGAGAACATCTGGTATAATATGAAGTCATCATGAAAATTGAGATATGTTTTTGTTTTTGAGATTTATTTCTCGAAGAATGCTTCATATCACCATATTTCTCATTTATAATCAATCATAGTTGGCCGTGTCATAGTGCCATATGGTATTTAAATCGCATTGAGTAATACATGTTGAGAGAAAATACTCAGAATCCTTTGCACCCTGTATGAAAAATTGATGACACAGTATCAGCTCATCATTATTGACTGAATCATGTTTTCATATTGGACCGATAAAAATATTTTGGAAGTGTTGAAACAAAATTGATTCAATATTTAGATCTATGGTTCAATATGATAAGATACTGGTGGAACAAGTTTCTAATCATGATATCAGGAATGATTATATAATAATATATGGAAAAACAGAACTATCATACCATTCATCAAATTCAGAATCATTATTGCGGTGATATTTCTATCATATCAACTTAGAAGAGACGAAACAATATTTTGCATTCAAAATTCCGCTATCAGATTGGTATGATATTGTTTCAATCATATCCTAATGAGAAGATTCACCAATAATAGTTGAATTCTTTTTTCACAATATCTTGCGGAAAAAAATATAGATAATTCGATATTTCGATATTCGTCTCATGACGATTATGGAAGTGAAGAACGATATTGTATGTACAGTCGTCTTCAGAAAACATGTCGCGGTTGGACGGTGTAAGCGATCTTATTGCAGCAGTGATTCAGAGGGCACACAGTCCATGTCCGACATGTTCACTGAAGACGAGTGTACAAGTTCTATGGCATATTGGTTGAATAATTCATCACCAATATTCGAAAAGTCATATTCATCCCAATTCCTCTCGGTGTAGGTTAGTTGGTTTTGTTGATATTTGGCTACATCCACATGTCTTCAACAAATCACTTCTGAGAGGCAATGGAATACTGCGGGTTGTGTTCGATTCGGTACTCTGGGCTGAAAGGCGGACAGCACATCAAATTAATCTCATTAATATGCTCAAGTGATATTGAACCATATTGCTGAATGATTACTATTTCATTGGTGCTATTGACCTCGAAATTCACCGACATCAGGGTTGGTATACTGGATATTGATAGGTAATCACTGAACAAGCTCATTATTAACATATAAAAACATATGAACTAACTAGCTAAATCTATTCAATCAATTATGTTCATGATAATAACATACTTTTTATAATACAATATTCGTAGTGGGCAAATCCCTACTATGGTGTTCATGCAATTTCTGGAGTTTGTTCGAAGAATATTGGGATGGTTGCTATTCGATGCCAATATTGTTCCTAGGATGTTTCACCAATATTGGTCTGATGATATTTCACCAAGATTCCGATGACCACAGCACAAAATATTGATTCTTCTTAATATCCTACCAATATAACCGAATATTTTAACAATATCACTAAGTATTATTGTACCAATTTCGCTGAATGATCACGTAATTTTTTATATTTTATTTTACAAATATTGTTCAATTTATCTTGCTACTTGTATCAGGTGGGGTTCCATATTCCAATTGAATTCTTCTTTTATTTGTTTGCAGAAGCTCTTCTAAACGCAACGATAGCCCCCTACACCATAATGGCCCGTCCGTCGAGCAAGCGAAACTGCGCCACCCAAATGCCCGTGAAGCCGTACCACGTGACGTGGGCCCCCATGTTGCAGTCGCGAAACTGCTCTACCCAAACCCCCCCGCCGCACAAGGAAAGTTCTGTCTAGTCCACCGGCCCTCCCCCGAGACCCCTCCCAGGATCCCGGGGGATGACCCCAGGGTCGGTACGGGGCTGCTGGGGACCTGGGTGCATTTTCGTCATTGACGGCCCCCTCAATCCTGTCCCAGGCGAGTCCAACCAACCCAATCAGAAGTCTCGGCACCGGGACCAATACCACCTGTGATATTTGTGAATATCTCGATATTTTTAAGCATTACATTATCAAAAAACTCAACTGTTACTTACGCTGTTATTATTTAATTGTCAATAAATTATCATTAAATGTGTCGTATGATTCCTGAAAACCTTATAAGAGTGTACAATTCAACATCGATCTCGAGAACATGCAGCTTGTTTTGACTTAGCTTGTAACTACATTCAATTGACCATCTGCGGCAAGTGACCAAGTGGGCGTGTCCATCTCGCCTGGAGGGTGAACAAAAAAATTGTCTCCATTACATTCTCATTGAAATTGTGTTTGTTTGAGTTTGAGGAAGTCTAAACTTGTGTCTTGAAAGCGTTTCGAAGTGCTGTTACTGTTTTATGGAAGGACCATGATGAGTACATTGAGTGAGCAATATAAAAGCTTGGACAAAATAAATGCTTATAGATAGATATATGGAAAAAATTGCGTGCATAGGATGTGAGGATCCATATATCATAAACAATTATTCCACGAAAATTGATGATTTGCAACCAGTTTTATATCCAGATATTGTAAATTATCTAGTATTTGCAAGAAAGGCATTTAGTTTGGAGCAACTGAAAGCATATGAGGGTTTAGATTCTTACAAAGCTGCATATCATGGGTGAGAGACATAAGCTCCAAACCTGTTGGCGAACACATCTTGGTTTTGGGAAAAGTAAAGTTAACACACAATCATTTATTATTCATATTACCTGTGTAATTATTATTTTTGTAGGCTCTGTTTTCACAGAAACTGAATCAAAAATGCCTTAATCCTTGGATTATATGTGAAAGTATTGGTACTGTGAAAAATGCACATTGTGACTGTGCTGCTGGTTTAGGAGAAACTTGCACACATGTTTCGCAGCTATATTATTCTCCATTGATAATTTGGTTCGTCCAACATCATCTGCGGAATCAGAATCTGTAACAGATGTGAAAGCTTATTGGGTAGCTCCAAGTAGTAAACCTTCTGCGCCCAGCAAAGTTTTTGACATCGGTTTCACAAAACGAGGCAAGCAAATCACAATTGGAAGCACATAAAGAAGATGCTAGCTTGAAACAACAAGAGATTGTACAATTTTGAAACAATGAAAGATTCTACAAAAAAGGGTAGTGCTCTCCACTCATTTGGCTGAGCTGTTTTCTCTTTTGTTATTGTCTAGAACTGAGGAAATCCTGAAAAATCTGACTCTCTCATTCCAGTTCCATTCCAAAAATTCTGCATATTATTCAGTTAGAATCTGTAGATGTAAATGATAGGCCCTCAAAATCAAAAGATTTGGATCACAGATAAATACATTAAATTCAATATGTATAAATTATATCTGCAGTAGAAGTTCAACACGACTATCACAATACAAATAAAAAACACTAATAACAACTTATTCGTCAGTAACAAAGCAGTGAAATGAAATCAAAAATAATTATGAACTCATGAACGAATAACTCCACACGGTTCGTTTACCCTCCTAGCGTAAGCGACCTTCAACGTTGTGACGTCAGCCGCAGATGGTCAATTTAAAACAACAACAATCTGAAATTTGGGTCCCAGTCTCCAATTGTACTCATATCCAGAATAGGTTCTCCAACTCTAGAGCTATTGGGAATAAACGATCAAGTCTTCGTATCGTAGGGGTTCTCCGGGTGAATGGTGTTACTCGCTGGTCCTGCTTTGCTTTGCAGTTGCAGAGGGTGCATTCAACTTCGTGGTATGCTCGATGTTTCCTGCTTCTTCATGATTTTCCTCCCGTGGTTCTGCTTCTATTAGAGCTATGAATTTTCTGTCTTTCTTGATATTTCCGGTGGCTTGATTATATTTTCCTTCTACGTATTTCTTCAGCAAATCTATTCTGGTCTCCAAAACTCTTCCAAACATCAGTTTGGAGGGTTTCTATCAGGTTCTTCCTAGTGAGCATAGTAGGCATCTTAATAGGTATAAGTGTTGAGGTTTTTCATTAGTATTTTTGTTATCACAAATTGCTGCTTTTAATTTCACCTCAGCTTGTGTGGGTTATTCACTGGACCCATATAATTAGGATAACCTCATTCCCTTGTTGCTTTTCCTGATTTCCAGGGAGTAAACTTGGCATCGAGTCCAGTCTGATCGTTGACCTAGTTTTTTCAATGCCTAGGTGAGCTGAGGAATGCGAATCCCTAAGTATTACTAACCTGAGTGTCTTCGATATGATGACTTGCTGTCCCAATGGCGAAATTAGGTACATCATCCAGGTAATTCTGTCATTTTTTCTGAAATCAGTTTCCACGGTAACAGTGTGGAATTTCTTTGGTCAAGTATTATTCAAACATATTTCATGACTGTTCTCAGAACATGGCATTCCATACAAAATATCAGGAATTTCATTATCACTTCAGTAGTAAAGATTGGCCGGTTCTGGCTCTCCGCCCTAGGTCACCGTCCTCCGACCTTGGGCGGAGTGACCTTGGGCGGGAGTGACCTTGGGCGGGAGTGACCTTGAACGGGTCTGACCTTGGGCAGGAGTAACCTCGTATAGTGAAGTGTCGACAGCGCGCCCTTGAACGCGGAGGTGACCTTGAGGGCGAGACAAAGTGACCTTGAAGGAAGGTTGTACGAGTAACCTTCGCATATGTAACCTTGGGAACGAGTGACCTTGAGTTGTAGAGAGAGAGAGAGAGACCTCGACCTTGGAGAGGGGGGTGAAAGCGTGTGCGACCTTGAAAATGGGAGTAGGCTGGTCGAGGTCGTTTTGGTAGAAGTGGGGTGCTGTGTTACGTCATGACTCCCTCCTATATGAACCCAATAGTTGTGTCCTGGAGAGCACAGTTCTCTCTCAATACTATCATCAAACATCAAGTTGAATAGTTCTTTGTGAGTGATAAATCATCTAAACAAAATGTTAGTTTGCAGTGTGTGCGCTAAACCTTTCACACGTAGTGACAATCTACGACGTCATCAAAGGGTTGCATGTGTGGGAAATTTCAACCCATCTATTGCAAAGAAGCCTCGACTGGAAGATGGCACTCAGCAAGCAGCAACTTCTGCAAATGTGCAGACATGTACTGTTTGCAATAAGACCATTCCAACCGATAAAATGGGTGCGCATAAAAGGACATTGGAGCATCGGACAAACGCTTGCGTCAATTATAGGGACGGAGTATATGTGATTGAAAATGCGTTCAAATGCCGCATTGTGAGCTATCGATTGGAATGCAGAACTGATGTATTGGATTACAATACGTTTTTTAATGAAAATAAGGCAACCATTATATCTTTATTGGATAATATAATCTCGATTCACCACTCCATCAAGGTGAATATGGAAGTGTTTGGAAGATACATTTTACAATCCCAAGATCTTCATGACATCAAATCCTTCATGACGCCAAATCACATCATGGATTCATCGCTGAATTTGGAGGCCGTGGTTGACACATTCAAGGACATCTTATTGAATCAAACGACCGAATTCGAGGAGCGTGATTCTGGTGAGTTGGTATGATTTTTGAAATATTTCTGATTATTAACAGATGTTACTATTGTTATAGGTTGGGCTTTACAAAAAATCATGTTCCTGGAAATCAATATCAACAAGTACAGCCCTCTGCGTGGATGCTCTTACATGAAGCTACCTAGCTTCATAGAGAATAAAAAGGCCGTTGTAAACATAGTGAATCAGGACGAGTGCTGTTTCGCTTGGGCTGTGACGTCTGCACTGTATCCGGCAAGAGCTAATGTTTGCGAAACCTCTTCATATCCGCACTATTCTACAGTTCTGAATTTGGTGGGTATAGAGTTCCCTGTTAAAGTGAGTAGCATTCCAAAATTCGAAATTCTCAATGATTGTTCCATCAACGTTTACGGGTTAGAGAGTGTATTTGAAGATCATCAAGTGAAATATCATGTAGTCGGCCCACTGTATTACTCCAAGAAAAGAATGAGTAAACATGTGAATTTACTTTTGACCACAGATGATGAAACTGGAAATAGCCACTATTGCTGGATAAAGAATTTATCAAGGCTGGTATCTAGCCAGATATCTGCCAAAGAGCATAAGAATTTTTTTTGCGGCGGTTGTTCGATATATTTCTTAGATGAAACAAAGTTGTTACGCCATCAGCTGAATGATTGTAATCATACATATACTACAACTCCGTCCACAGAGATCAAAGTCGATAAATTTGGAAATTCAGTACCTGAAAACATTTTGAAATTCGAGAAATTTGAGAAACAGATGAAAGTACCATTCGTTATTTATGCAGATTTCGAATCAGTTCTGAAACCGATACATACTAGTCAGCCAGATCCGAATAAACCCTTTACTAATAGAACATTCGCACATGAACCTTATTCATTTGCATACCTTATCAAATGCTCTTTCGATAATTCTATCACGAAATATGTTACATTCCGTGGAAAAGATGCTGCGAAAAAATTCGTATCCAATTTAGTCAATGACTGCAAAATAATATACAACTTGTTTCTAAAAAGTGTAGTTCCTATGGAAAAATTAACTCCGGCAGAAGAAGTTGAATTCGCTAATGCCACGGAGTGCGGTATTTGCGATAAAGCTTTTATTTATGGCGACGTCAAAGTGAGAGACCACTGCCATCTAACGGGAAAAAAAAGATTCGGTGCCGCACATTCAATATGTAATTTGAACTTTAAAATTCCAAATTTCATCCCCATATTTTTTCATAATATGAGTGGCTACGATAGCCACCTTTTCATCAAGCAATTATTCGATAGAGAAGAGAGAGTTGATTGTATCGCGCAAACCAAGGAAAAATATATTTCATTTACCAAACATATTTTAGTAGACGAATATTTGGGAAAAAAC